AAGTTTGCTTTGCCGTTTGATGCACAGCGTTCGCCATCAAGAACGCAGACGCAGAGGCGAGCGAAAAAAGCTTAAGGGCCGCCATGTTTTCCGTGTCGAAGTTGAATATGTGAACGAGTAAACTGGAAGAGTGGGGAAGGTTTTGAGGGCCCTCAACTTCAGATGTAACATATGTTATGCAGTGTGCGTGCAGGAAGTGGCGGCGAGGGAGCGGACCACGGCTGGCCTATCCGGTCCGGCATGGAGTCATCCTGGCTATGTTCTTAGTTGAATTTACAGCCCTGCCGTTGTTAAAAACCTTAATGAGGTATTTCAAGAACTATTGTCTACACGGTGCCCCCTGTCGCCGCTGAATGTCACGTGAAACGCCGGCGGAAACTCTTTGCCATTCTGGGTGAATCGGGGACGCGTAGGGCCGAGGTCCCTCGTACTCGATTAGTGTTGTTCTGTAAATATGCAAACTGCTTGTAAGGTATGTGAGCCAGTTATGAATCATATTAGTATAGATTGTCTTGAAACAGTGGCTCTTCGCCCTTCTGGACGCAGCCCACGGCGTTGTATGATGCCCCTTCATCGGGGCAAGTTGCCCTGCCTCGATCCTCTCAAGGCTTGTGCGCCCGAATATAAAAAGGCGAAGCGCTACTGGCAGACTCCCTCCTACCAAACACTTCTGCTTCTCCTCGGTACTTAGCTAGCCTAAAAAGTGCGAACTGCGGCCCGGCGCTGGGCTTACCGCTATTGTCCTCAACAGGCACGCATACAGGGAGGTATATGCACGCACAAATGTGCGGAAACACCTGCGCAAGCGTGCAGCGACGAACAACGTGCTAGATCGAGAAACGGAGAGTCATAATTCCGGTCAATTGAACCAGTAAAAAGGAAGAAGTACGTAAGACAATGTCAGTGCAACAGAAGCAGCCCAGGCAAGCAAGCATTTGCTGCCCATAGAAATAGAAAAGGTTGAAAAGACCTGTCAACTAGTGGCGCATGCAGCGGAAATCCGACAGGCGCAAGCATGAGTATAAACGGCGTGTGTCGAAAGCTTTCGGTAGCCGCAATCCTGTGGATTCAGCGGAGAGCAAACACCTGCTTAAGCTGTACACGCCAGTCAGAGTGTCTGTTCTGAAGAAAGGAAAATGTGAATAAGACACTGCGGAGCGCGGCTTTGCTTGAATAGTATCAGCAGCCGCCGGGTGCCACGGAGAGGTCACTTCTTTAAAGGGCCAACAAGCCAACGGCCGCAATAGCGACGGCCAGCAGACTCGGGGAGACAGCAGAGGCAGAACCTGTGATGGATGCCTTGATCTTCTTCCACTGGTCTTCGCTGCGCGCAATTGGCCAACAGATGAATAGCACACAACAGTGTATTCGCATCGACACGCCCAGCCCTGTACACAACTATCTCTT